TATTAGATGAAACTTATCTTTAATTCAACAACATCAATTTAATTTGATCTGCAAATTTAGTTCAAATAATATTTTTGTCTTGTATACTAATACAAATTGTCCCTCCAATTTAATTCTGGCTTTGGTGTTTTTTAGGTAACAAGACTGTTTTGGGGTTTAATTACACTAAATGTTCTCAAAATATAGAATTTGTCTCATTTTAGTTCATAATATTTTAATTACATTATTTTGGTTCCTGAAGTATTAAATGTATTTTTATATGATTTTTCAAGTAGACAACATCTAAATTGTTAACATTTTTTTAAATAAATTTATGTCATGTAATACCTATGGACAAAAAAATAATTTTGATAGCTCTTGACCAAAAATGTATAATATGGGTAGCTCTTAACCAAAATGTGGATAACTCATTATCAAAACTGTGTAAATTGGAAAGCTCGTCCCCCAATTTATCCCAAGTCATCCCATCTATGATCGGATCCATCATGTTTAAGAGTATAATTTGTACAAAAATACTCTGAATCCGATCTTAATCTAACTTGTAAATTCAATATATGGGCGAATATTTTTCCATACACAAGTTGGGCTTCACTAAGAAATTCCAACCCGATTTTAATCTGAATAATATGTGGGCTAAAGTTTTTGGGTCCTAAAAACGCAGTCTAGACCCAACTTGAATTACTGAATAAGTTTTAATTCGAGTTGAATTCCAGCTCAACTCAATTTAAATTCAAATTCTGAAATTAAGATTCAGTTTAGAATTAAGATTAAGATGCGAGAGAATATACTAATAAAGTTAATATAGATACTAGGTTGATGTATTCGGGTTAATGAAACTTAAAAGAAGAAAATAGAGACAGCTCACGCCCAGCCTTTCAATGGTGTCCGGCCTGCCTGTCCGCCATCCCACTATACAGCGACTTAATGACAACCACCTTTTGTTTGAGTATATAGAATTTATATATGGATATAAAAATTTGACATAAGACACAGTCGAATAGATTTAATTCGTGGAAGAAAAGTTGGACAAGGTGGATAGATATGCCTTGTTGTGACCTTGGCACAGTCGAGTCGAATGAAACATTTTTGAATCGGGACAAGTCGAGTGAGACTCGTGGTTTACATAAAACGTGTATCTGTCTCGAAACAAAAGATTTCGTGCCAAATACAATTCAATTGAATTACATCAGTATCGATTAATACTTTGAACCATCCAAAATGTGATCTTCATCTCTCACTATATGTCTAGCTTGTTTTATATCTAGCATTTCATCTATATCATTATTTACCGTTTGTGCAATGTTGAGAGTGTGCCTTGGGGTTGTTTGATAGTACCATTTAATGCTTAAAATTAAATATTTTAAACATTTAATGAATTAAACGTGTTTAGTAACCTAAAACTCATACCACTTAATATTTTATGCACTTCTTAAAAATAGGATAAGTAACAAACTACCTACTTATCATTTAATGCTGAAAATGTTAGTTAGTAAAGATTTTATAAATTTTCATAATGAACAACTATATGCTCAATGTATTTTATACTATTAAGTTTTCAATACCCACAATCCACCGTCATTGTGTCATTGCTGCCGCCACCACCATTGTAATGGTGATCACAATGGTGGAAGTAAGAATAAAATAGTTGTGGTGAGATGGTTAAAAAGAAAGAAAAAATTAAAATCAAAATAATTTTTTTAATTTCAACTCCTGATATTTATCAAACAGTTTGATTCAATTTAATAATTAAATTTCAATGGATATCAAATAATTTACGAATTAAAAAATTTAATATTTAATACTTAAAATTCAGCATTTAATTTTCAATATTCAATTTTCAGTTTTATCAAGAAAACTATTAGATAGATTTTAAATCTTAACTTAATGAATTATTATCATTGAATATATAATATGTCGAATAATACCAAAGTCAACAACAAAATCAATAATAAATATAACACCTACATCATCAAATAAATTTTTTAAAATCTAAGTAACACTGCTCTTTTATCAAACACAATCTTAGGAACTTCTGACAGATAACTTGACCTTACACCATATCCCATCAGTTTCTTGTTTGTCTTCTTTTTTGTGTATAAATCTTTTGCTATTAGCAATGCACTCTGGCCTCTTTGTTATTGTTACCATAATAGTCTTTGATAATTGTGACTTAATTTAAATTATTATAATCATTGAATTAGTGAATGGGGACCATTGTCCATCAAATTGTTGTAGTAGATTGATGAGTCAGCACATTAAGTTAAAAAATTAAACATGAAAGATAATTTGTGTCGAATCTCGACATATCTTGAGAAGATAGTTAAAGTAATTATCAAATAAAATAAGTCTTTTTATAGAAATTTGTACATCCAAGGGTGGGATGATTGATTAGTCTAGACCCTTGATTTCTAACTTCCGGGTCAAACATTGCTAAAGGAAAAGTTTTTCAGCTGTTATTTGGAAATTTAATCAAGGGCAAAATTAATATATTTATTAAATTAATTGAAAATTTCAATAAAAGATAGAAACTAACTATCAATCTAACGGCAGTTGTTAATTAGGTTCTCGAATTAAATAATATTACTTGGTTTATCAATAAATCCATTTTTTTATTTCTCAATAACATTACTTAGTTTATTAAATATCATGTCAGTATTCATGATATAGTATCACTAACCAATAATAAAATCTTAAATAGACAAAGTGAATTTTTTTTAAATAATTATTGACTAATATGAAAAAATAACGAATAATTATCTGCTTATATGAACAAATAGTTATTAATTTAAGTAAGATACACTTCATTATTTGTCAGGAGATATCACAATTGCAATATGGATGAACTTTAGATAAAGAGCAAATATCAAACTTTACAAACGCAAGACTGTTGCAACTTGCAAACACTTATTATATCACAAGAAAGGTCAAAGTTTCATTCTAAAATCATATGTGAAAACTTGTCTGATCTAAAGCTTCCTGATGAAATGTGTCTGAACGGGTCAGCAGATTTCAGAACTTCATCAAACCGAGTCGACTCACTTGCCCTCCTCCTCCTTCCTCTATTCACCATCTTCCCTCCCTCTCTATCCACCTCAAGCATCCCAACCCTACCCTTCAACTCTCCAATCGAAACCCACAAAGTCTCCATCGAAGGCTTCTTTATTTTAAACATCTCCAACAATCTCTCTCTACGATCCTCTAATCTCTTTAAAGCACACGTTAACTCAACCGATTCGCCAAAACTCAGACAACTCAGTCTCTCCTTGAACTCACTGAGTCGTAACAAAACCTCATTGACCGCCGACAAATAATCACCACGCAGTAAACCCATGACCTCGTACAATAATTTGTTGTCTTCAACAAGGAGAGAATCGGGTAGTTTGCACAATTCTTCGATGACTTCAACTAAGGAATCAACGTCTCTGATTAAGTCTAAGTTCATGGATGATGAAACTCTCTCTTCTTCCTTATCTTTGTCTATGTTCCATGGAGGTGAGCGTAAATAGTATCCCAAAGTTCTGGAACTGGAAAGTAGGGTTTCGAGGTAACGAGCGTACCACCTGACCCATTCGGAGAGGGCCCACTTGCTGGCGGTGGCGCCGTCTCGAAAAGCAGAGAGTTTGAGGTAGTTCCGGCCACCGGAGGTGGGGACGATGGAGAGCTGGTCTTGGAGGATGAAGGGTCCACGTTTGAGGATGTAGTGAATGGTGAGGAGGCACTTGAGGGCGACGGAGGCGTCACGGGTGCGGTGGAGGCGGTCCATGAGGGTGTTGATTATGACAGAGGCGGTGGCGCGTGAGCTGTAACCGAGGGAGAGGAGGGCGGAGAGGTGGTGGTGGTGGTGATCGTTGGGTGTGGTGGTGGGTGAGTGGGTGGTGGCTTTTATGACTGCGAGGTGGAGTGAGAGTTTGCTTGGTTTGGAGAGAAGGGCTGCCTTGGATTGTGAAACCTTGTCCTTGATGACTCCTATGAGATCTCTCAATGTCGTTATTCGTCCCATGGATAGAAGAAAGAGAAATGGGGTTTAGACCTGTGAGAGAGAGAGAGAGAGAGAGAGAGAGAGAGAGAACTACATTGATTTCTTTTTTCTTTTTGGGGTTGATACCTAATCCGAAACACCTAGTACAATGTGCTGTGTGTGAGAGAGAGAGAGAACAATAATGATTTCATTAAATCTTTCTGTTTTTTTATTCATTGCGGGTTGATTCTGTGTGATTTAAGGAAGGAAACCTAATCACAAGATATTTATATTGCCAGGTTGTTTTTATAAACCTACAAGTCCTTTTCTTTTTGCATTAAATGTTCATATTTTATACCTACTAGTGACCCTACACCCGTACTATAATTTATAATTCATCATCTACTTTTTTTTTTTTTTTTAATTATTCTTCCTTATTTTGTTTTATCTTTACCGACTTATACGATAAGTTACAAAGATATAAAAACTTATGCAATAACAAAAAAAAATTTCCAAAACTAATTGTAATATATTATAGTTAGTGAAAGAATGGGCGGTGTTTATTAAAAACACATGGTAGAAGAATGTAACTAGAAGTAACCTTTTATTTTTACTTTAATAATTTAACACTTCAAAACATTAATAATAAAGAGGAAAGGCACGTCATGCCCACTCGAGGAGTAATCTCTTTTTTTTTGTTACAAGGTAAAAAATTCAGACTTGTGCTGACTACTCTATCAAATTCAACGATTGACCACCGAGACTTGAACTAGATTAAAACATGTCCCTAAAGAGGCAAAAGTGATTAATCCGTGAAAAGAGATTGAACCTGATATCTCTGACTTACCAAAAACTAATCTTAACCACTAAATCATTCCTAAGAATTATTAATTATTTCACATACATCCTAATTTTATTAGAATAAAGGATTATTTTCTAGCAAATGCCAAGCTTTACATCTTAATAGGTTCAATTGAAATAGAATTGAAATAGGAGGGGCCAAAATGATACCCAAAGACATGTATAAAAGTGTGCTACCAAAAGTAACGTAAAAGAGGATGAATTTACTTTTTGACTCTTGACATTTGAACTTACTCTACAATGGCAGCAGTTAAGGAGTCAAATTACTTTTCTTTTTGGAGTAAATTATACTCTGAATTATTACCTTTACTTTACTTTATACCTTCAACTATAAAATTTTTTATATTATATTTTAAAATATTAATTTTATTTTATATCACTCTAATAAATAACGGTAAACTTAAAAATCTGTTAAAAGAGGAAGAAAAAACCCAAAAAACTTCCTGTCAAGTACCTAATATCACTTTATTTTACCTCTTTTGTTCTAAATGGTTGCTGAGAAAAAAAAAAATCAGTCAGAGTAAAAAAAATAAGAACTTCGAAAGAACAAAGTCATGGATAAATTTTTTTTCTTTATTTTTAACTTGGCACATGTGCAATATACAATTACTTATTGATAGTACAAGCTACTCACATGTGCATTTATCGTCAAAATATTGACAACCATTATCTATTAGAATGATATGAAATAAAATTGATACTTTAAGGTACAATGTAAGAAATTTTTATAATTTAGGGTACAAAGTGAAACAAATGTAATAGTTTAATAGGATAAAGTATAATTTGCCTTCCTTTTTGTCAACCTATTCTTATCAAAATCTACTTTTATCTCTCGAAGTCATGCAACCTATTTTTCCTTATCTTTTTCTGGTCTTTCAAGACATTAGCATCATGAACAAAAACACAAAAATCCCACAGAATAGACATTATCTAGGAAAATTACTTCGATTAGATTAGATTAGATTTTGTTATTCCAAGGCTGTTCCTTTATCTGTTCGTTGTCAAGTGTTTGCATTTAAGAAAATCCTGAAATAAGACATTGAATCACACACACAATTGCCCAACAATCCCCATTGTCGAAGAGATTCAACTTACCAAATTTATCACCAACAGTATGCTTAAGAAGCGTTTTCAGACACGCCATGAAGATGTGCATAGCTGTTGTAATACCATTCTCATAAATCTCAATATTTATCAATTCGTTTAAAAAATAAATATTTTGCCGCGCCTCTCACACAAATTTGAAAAATACCTGAGTGATGTTTCAGAGGCGAATAACAAAGAATCGCAGTGTTCATATTGTCCACCATATCTGGGTTGTGGGACTACTTTGGCTGTGATGTATCACAATGTGTGATGCAGCAATAAGCAACCACATACCAGTCCAAGTAGAAGTACACGGCTAAAAATCCGCTCATCGGGTGAATAACCTGCACGAAATATATTTCACTTGCTATTCAGATTCTGATGAATTCAAAAACAGAACGCGAGTCTTTTCAGATTCAGGAATTTATTGTATTTCTCCCGGTGGATCGTAGGTGAAGCTACAATCTTACCCAGTTGGAGATAATTGTTTTGAATATTCCATTCGAAATCCCAGTGCTTTCTGTCGTTTTTAATCGTCCAATAAGCCCATCCAAAAGAGGCAGCACCATATACCTCTAACTGGGCTCTCCCAAAATCCTGGTAGTCTAATTGGGATCCGCTCATGACGTTCCATTCATTCACCCATTCCCTGCAATCAATCCATTTCCAAGTCATAGTTCATATAATTTATCCGAGTCCTCCTCAGTTCATGTATAAGATGCATAAATGACAAATCAAGGTTAAGTAAAATTTTGGGGTTCTAATAATATGTCATTTTTGATGAACCAAGAAAAATGGGGATCATTACTTACCAATAAAAACAAGAGGCCCATTTGCACCATTCAGAGCTTGTACTTGGGACTCCCTGCTCTTGTATATGTATTGAATATTATCAACAGTACTCATGTTTACAAAAAAAATTGTCAAAGAGATTGTAGTAATGCAAATCAACTACTGTATTTATCGAGCCTAAGTTAGCTTGATAAAGTTCAAATGGATCTGTGTTGCCTATTCTTTGGCAGAAAATCACATAAGCTGTTGATGAGTATTTCCGAACAATCTGGTAGCCTTGTTTGTAATATGAAACTAAAATGTCCAGTGGGACGGTGGCAGAAGATGGTTCGTTTAGAAGCTCAATTCCCAGCAAGGCCGGATGCTTGGCATACCTGCAAATGAAGAAGTCATGAACTATGAAGTTAAATTCAACAACGCCATATCACATAAGGATACACTCAAATTAGTTCTGTTTTCTAACAAGATTATTATTAAAACAGCATCTTTTAGAAAGCATTAATCCACTGCCAATTTTAATTTTCATGTGACAGGAAGCTTAAACGCTATCAGAACTGAAGATGAAGCATATTTCTACTCTAAACTATCCGAAAACCAAACTTCTTTATTATGTTTTCAGCAACAAGGACATCAATTGGATTTTCTTACAGTAATATGTAGTAGCTCAATTGTGAAACATACAAGATATTCCTTGGCACAAAACATGACTAGGTTTTCTTACAAAGGATTGACCATCAATATGGTACAATTAACCATGCAGATGAACACCAATCTGAAGTCTACCTGGAAGCCAGGAAATCAATAACCACTAGTGTCTGGGAGATGGAATCTGGAGATGTAGACCATCCAGTTGTACCATCTCTACTAGAACTATGTTCCATCCCATTTTGGGAGCCTGGAGCTGCATGAAGGTCAATTATGCACTTTATGCTATAGGCTCTGCACCAAAGTTTTTACGTAGGGTGTAAAACAAAAGCAAATGCAAACAAACCAACAATCTAGAAAGTAAAAAGGTCAAAGCAAGACCTACTGTGCCCATGAGAACGCATTATCCAGAGCTTCTAACGATCCTCCTATAAAAGGGGCAGGAGGATTGGGATCAAAAGCAATCCACCAGCCAACAGGGATCCTCACAGTATTTATTCCGTGTCTATACAGAAAATTGAAATCATCTACAGTGATAAAGCTGTTTCTATGCCTCTGCAATGTCCAACAAACATGTATCACATAAAAAAGGAACCACGCTGAGATAGGGAATATTGGCTTACTTCTGCCAAAAAAAAAAATTCAACAACAATTACATTTCTAGGGTATGTCAAGTTAGTATCAACAAATAGAGCAAAACAGAAAAATTAGAGGAAGTAAAAAAAAACATTACAAAGACATAATCCTTATGCAAATAGACTTCTGACAGGTCAGGAGTCAGCTGTGCTACACATCCCTAAAAATCCCATCCTGAAGCTCATAAGTAAGGAATTTGTGATATAAAAATGCATTCCAACAAATATATAATGCATTGGGTAGAACCTCATTTGCCATCTCTAGAATCCAAAAGAATTGGATATATGCAAAAAAGAAAATAATATGTTATACAAAAAGTCTATCCCCAAGAATTGCTCTTAAGTTTTTTCTGGATCTGACATACTGTACTAATGTAACTGTTGGATCAAAACACCCATGTCATAGAAGGTATAGATCATCAATTACTATCAGTTATCAAGTGATGACAAACAGAGCCGCGCTTGGAAATTAATTACCTTGAGAACTTCTTTGGCTTTGGCATACCAAATCCATTGGCAAGCTGATAATCTCCGTGTAAATTATTTGCTATAATCATCATCTCAAATGTGGCTGCATTATTATCCCATCCTGGTGTCCCCCGATAGTCTGCTGTGATCTGGCTGGCTTTTGAAGCCTAAACGAATAGAGTATAATATATCACTCAAATTAAAGGGGGAAAAAAAAAAAAGCCAAGTTAACGGGTATAACAACCCTGAAATAGGCTTCAATAACAACCGCATGGATGGATAACCAGTAAATTATCTGGTTGGGTATTGGGCGCACAGTGCACAAGCAAATTGCATTCAAAAATCACTGTGAAAAGCCTATCCCAACCCATTTTGTGCCCAATCTTTTCAGCAAGCATAATAGCTCATAGCTAACACATATCAAAATCAACAAGCATTATAACTGGCTTTTCCAAATTCAAATTATTTCCCAAACTACTACAGATTTCCTTCAATTTCTTATAAAGTTATTTTTACCATGGGCAGTAACTTTATCCACCCGGAAGATTAACGGAGAATTTTCAAAATCTAAATTAGTATTAAAACCTAAGTGCGTCACCATGAGCCATCAGCGAGATCAATGAACTGAACCATAGAGACAAAAGGCATCTATTGATTTAAAATTTGAACCAGCAGTTTTGAGCACCAATACTTCGGCATGCATGCCAAATCACAAATCTAGCACTCTTATCATTATTGATAACCAAAGTGCAGCTGAGAAATTCTTCCCTAATCAAGATGTAAACCGATCAGAAATTATACCTGCAGATAGGTTCCACTTTTAAGTCTGATATGAACTCTAGTGTTAAAATTTCTTTCAATATAAAATGTTTCTGTTGCCAATGGTGATTCTGCTGTTGCATAGACAAAGCCTCCATCACATGTTAGAAATTGGCCTTGAGAGGTGCGAAACTGAAATACTGAATCGGAAACTCTCCATAACTGCAGGTAAAAATATATTAGTAACCAATCTCCACGTATATTAGAAAGGAAAAAAACAAAGGAGAATGGTTTGATAATGCATAAGTTTATCAAACAAAGATGAGTTCACACTAATGATTGTCATGGCAATTATTTAAGTACATCATAAGCAACAAAAGGGAAAATTGTATTAATATATTATCATGCTTTGTGATCTTCTGCAGATAAAAGATATTGTTGGTTTAATGGAAACTTTAACTATCACTGTGACATATACCATGAGATCTCGTATACTAACTCAAGGCTCAAACCAAACAAACTTCAATATTAGCAAAAGCCTAACCAAAGTAATTCTATTACTTCCAGGTAGGCTAGTTCAGTTTCAGTTCAAGCCCTCAATGATGTTCCCAAAAGCATACCAAATTCTAATTGTGGAACACACCAGATATCCCCAAGAGTAGCCATTATTATCTTTTCTTAAGATAATGCCAGTTTTCAAGATAGGAACTATTACAAAAAATGTTCCAGTGCTCAGTCAATTGATTACAAAAAAAAAGTTTCTATTACAACAAAAAGCTTCTTAAAACCCCATCAATGGTAGCCAAAAAGAAAATAGATTCAAGTTTATTCATGACTAACTGAAACAGCCATCCCACAGCTGGAAAGCAGGAAAATAAAGAAATGTGTCATGCTGAACTAATTCTCCAATTAGAAGCATATTTGGAAGTCACAAGATTCCACTTGCAACTAAGTTTGCTTACAATTTAGAATCACCCTTGCCACCAAAATGATCAGCCATAAAGTGATATGAGATTGCAAATTACAGTAGAATCATAAGTAATTATAATGATTAAATATTACAAAATATATTGTTGGATGATAACTCAATAAAACTCCTTATAGTTGGAAAATCAAAGCTGATTCAAAAATCAATACAGGACCAAGAGGATATCATAAAAGAAGTATAAGCAATGGGTTAATCATCTTACCCTAAAAGTTTCCCATGATAAAGGAACATCCTTGTCCACTGTAACATTCATGCCACCCCCATTGTCTGCGGACACATATTTCTGCAATGTCACTGACTTGAATTGAACCTCTGTTCCATCCTACATTTCAGACATATGTTTTGACCATATAATCACACCAAAACAACAAAGACTCCTACTTTGCAAAAGCAATCATATTATGAAAAGAAAACTCACAAGCATGTCTCCATTGGGAATACCGTCGAACAGAGAAGGTTTAATCCACCCTTCCACAACCAACCATCCGCCCAAATTCACTCCTCTTACTTTTGAGTTTCCAGGAAGTCCCTCCACTAATCTCATAAATTTGAGGGGGGGGGGGGGGGGGGGGGGGGAACTCAACAGTAAGCTCTTTATATATAAATCGTTATCATAATCCAAAGGCATATACAATTATATAAGTAGTGAAGTTGGAGAAATAGAGAAAACCTGAGAATGCAACAGAGAAGATGAGCCAGAAACAGAGTAGAAACGCAAATAGCCATTTGCATAAAACAAGCTCCATGCACAATGCAGGCCACAATGGCATAAAAAAAAGCTAAGATATAGAACCCATCTGCAGCAAGAAGTAAGAACCCCAGTAAAAAATTCAAACCCTCCAAAAACACTCACCTGAGAGAGAGAATCTCAGCAATTTCTTTCTCATTACTCAATAAATTCCAAAAAGAACCTTGTAAACAACCCTAAAAAATGAAAGATCTTAGTGGGTTTGTTTAATTACCCCTTAGAATACAGAGTATTCACACAATCCCTAGAGTGGATGCAAAGACAAAACCCACAAATAAAAAACTTCAACAGCAGAACAAAAGTATAATATTTTAGAGTTTAAGAAAGAAAAGATAAAAGTGATCAGATGTTATCATACATTAATAGCAGATAGTATAATGCAAAAGAGAAAGAAAGGGTGTCCTTTGCTTGGAGTTTTGGTATTTGTTTGGTGGGGTTTGGGTTTTTGATTGATGAAGCAAACAGAGGTACTGAGAAAATGTTAAAAAGGCATCTTTACACTGGGAAAAGGTGGAGAAGAAGTCGTTGCACCATGTTATTGTTTGGAATGAGAATAACGTTTTTCATTGATGAAGTGACCAAAAAAAAAAAAAAAAAGGTTAATTGCAAGTTGTACTTTGAAAGATAGTTTGAATTTTAATTTAGAGTTTTAAAAATTAAAAATTTTAATTTATACCTTCAAAGATAGAAATTTGTATCAATATGTATCCCAAAAATAAAAAATCTCAATTTGTACCCTCAATAATAGAATTTGTATCAATGTGCACCTAAAATTAAATTTGATAAATTATACCTAAATCTCCTCATGTTTGTCATTTAATCATTTGGACTCCTTCACATTTAGAATATTACTCCTACATTTTATGATGTTTATGCACGTGTAACATATAATCCCTTTTCGTTGATATCGGTTAATATAACTGTTAAAAAATATGATTTTATCCTAATAAAAAATTATAATTTCATATTACCCTTTATTTTGTGGGTCCGATATAATCTAAAGTTCAAAATCAAGGTTATCATTTGAATGTCCAATAGAATGCCGATATTTATATAATATTTTTTATATCCAATGTAATATGTCACTCAATGTGCAACCCTTTATTCTACTAAACATTCAAATGATAAACTTGATTTTGAACTTTAGAGTATATTAGACCCAAAAATAAAGGGTAATATAAAATTATAAATTTTTATTATGATAAAATCATATTTTTTAACGGTTATATTAACAGATATCAACGAAAATGGATTACGTGTTACATGTGCACAAACGTCATGAAATGTAAGAGTAATATTCTAAATGTGAAGTGGTCCAAATGATTAAGTGACAAATATAAGGAGATCTAGGTATAATTTATTAATTTAGTTTTAGGTACACATTGATACAAATTTTTATTTTTGAATGTGTAGATTGAGATTTTTTATCTTTAAGACTGCACATTGATACAAATTTCTATTTTTAATGGTGTAAATTGAGATTTTTGATATTTGGGGGTGCACATTGATACAAATTTCTATTTTTAAGTGTGTAAATTGAGATTTTTTTATCTTTGAGGGTACAAATTGAGATTTGAACGATCTTTTAAGGTACAATTTATAATTAACCCAAAAAAAAAAAAAAAGGTAATTGAGAAGCTTTTTTCAAAAAGATATCTTTAGATCGGCTATAACCCTTTTTTTTTATATCTAAATTTAAATTTAATTAAAAATAATTTAAAATATTTTTTCAATATTATAAAACCTAAATCAAAGGAAATTTTTTTAAAACCAAATTTTTAATAGTGAGATTATACCCTATTTTAAAGATTTAATAATTATATTTTATCCTCTTTTAAATTTAAATTTGAGTTTTTTCGAGTTTTATATTAAATCAAATTTTTTAATTTTTTTTTACTCAAATTCCATTAAATTTTCGGAAAAACAAGGTAAGGAAAGGAAGGGGGATAAACCGGTAAAGAGTAAATATTTATTGCGTCAATAGCATCCGCAGGCTAAAGGCAACCGACCCGCCACGTGACAGGTCACGGATAGCCTGTAACCCAGACGGATAGGGCCATGGACTGTAATCCTAGCCCAATAGACTAGATGGGCCAACCCGTTTGAAGCCCCTTAAGTGTCCTACTGTGTAGGTCCGTGGCCCGGGTCACCAAAAGGTCAGCTAGATTATGTTTTTGAAAAAAATTCAAATTGTCCACTAGATTAATTTTTTTGGAAGTTTAAATTACGTGCAACAAGTGTCATTCAAAAAAGGGAGAATCTCATTTCGCAACCGAAAATTTTAAGATTTTTCACTACTTTCAAAGATAAATTTTTTCACATGATATCCTTAATGTATTAAAAGTGTTGTAAGTTAGTCTTTCTGCTAGTTTTTGTTATTTATTCTGTCAAAATTATTTAATTAATGTTAATGAAATGAGTAATCAAAACTACCAGAAAGATCATATTACAATCTTTTTATTACATTTATAATAAACTCTCGTCCACAGTATAATACATTAAGGATATTATGTGAAAAAATTTATTGTGCGAAACATAAAGAGTTAAAGAACTTATATTTACTTCATTCTGGTAGGATGACGGTATTAGTCGTATTAGGATTGGCCCAATTTTTGGCCCATTAAGGGGCTGTCGGTAGGCCTTGCGTGGAGGTCATCGTGAGAAGAACTAATTGTGGCAGACATAAGTTTTAAATAGTTGTATTAGGATTGGCCCAAATTTTTGCCCATTAAGGGGTGGTCGGTAGGTCATGGGTGTAGGTTTTTCTGGTAGGCTGGCTAAAGCCTAATCTATTTGACAGTCAAGCCCGATAACCTCCACCCATGAAGGATCTGTAGGCCTAAAAAATGGATCATGCTGGGTTGGCCCAGCCCATTATCAAGGTTTCTGTTGTGCTCGGGTGTTGTCGATTCGAGTCGAGACTTAAATAACAGTGAAAATTCGAACCAAATAGAATACGAGAATCTCTTTTGCTAATAAATATAGACACATACTCATTGTGTCGTGCTTAGGTCAATTAACACAACTATGATTTATTCATTCTCAGCTAAAAACCATCATCCATATGCCCCCATAAAAAATAAAAAATAAATCATTCAATCTAAATGTAATAAAAGCACTCAGGAATAGAATACTCGTTGGAGACAAGAATGAGTGAATCTAATTTCGAGAGCATGCTTTACTCCCATAGGAGCATAGAGTTTCTAAGTAAAGGCAGGCGCAACTCTCTCTTTCATATCCTACCTGTCAATAAGATAAGTTTGTTATAAAGCTTATTGATCAGAAGATTCTCAAGAATGAAAAAGTCGACTAAAAGACTATTTCATAATCAACTCTTGTTGCCGAATTGAGGGGGTTTGGCTTGTACTAGGATCTTCTAATACTACAAGAATTCATACTTCAAAAAAAAATCATATATTTTCTCTCAAATGAAACCATTAGAATATGTATAGTCGGCCAAAATCGAATTATTCCTAACTCAAAGCAGCATTTAGTATCTATTATTATTTTTTGTGTTAGTGCATCGAGTTATTTTTGGATATGTACGAAGAAAAACAAACCTAATCACTCATTTTGTTTTGAATTCCTATTGTATCACATAGGGAGTTGCACCACAAAAAAGAAGAAGATTATTTATAATAGTGATAAGGCTAATAATCGAGCTGAGCCTGTCGAATTTGTTTTTTTAAACGAGTCTAAAAATTGTTCAAGCTCAATTAATTTAAAACATGGGCCGAACTTGAGTTGAGTTTTATTCGAACTGAGTTTAAATAACTTAACTCAATTATTAACCCTAAATAGGGAAATGCTTAAATAGACTTGCTCAACTCTTTTCACTGTAAGGCTCTTCCCATGTCACGGTTGGGCTAAACTTGGATTCCTTGGAGTGCTGTAACATATTCTTGAGAACTACAATCTCAAACCGAGAATAAAATATAAAATAAATAATTCCTGGTGCATGATGTTGAGAGAGAAGTTTTCATGGTTATTGTTTAGTTTCTAAGTAGTGAGTCGCTACTTAACTCGATGCAAGCTTGATTTAGCCCAAGGAATGTCTAAGGCTCTCGTGCCTCTCTTGGTCGAACCAAAACAACAGATGATTTTGAACAAATTTTAGTCTCAAAGTTTCAGATTCATATAAATTGAACATTACAATGATAGGATAGGACTCTACTATCACTGTTTGCAGTGACTAGGTGAAATCTTATTCATTATATTTTCACTCAATAGTAACTTACTTATTATCATGAATTTAAGATTGATTTATTAAATCAAGTGAATTTCACTTGAACAATTATTGATTTATTTGGAAGAAGAGCTAATATTTATAAATAAGTATTTATTAATTTATATAGAACCTATTTTATTTATTTATTTATTATTAATTAGTAATATCGTATCATCAATATTAAATACACTCCCTCGTTGCACACAATAAGGAACCTTTCATTAAATAGACGGCAGTTTTTGCTCAGCCGTGGTTTTCTCACCCAAACAATGCAGTTTTCTTTCTGGAAAGGCCACGTGTATGGCTAGGAGTAGCCGACCTGGTCGTTATCAAAGGCAACACCTCAATCAAAATACTGCTAAATACCAATCCATTGTTTTACGACTCAAAATTAGAGAATGGAGACAGATTTATGGCTTGGTTAAAGTTAAAGCAGCAACACCGTGCGTGGGGCAACGCTATCCCGGATTTGCTGACCCAGACAGACCCCTCCCTCCTCCGACAGTGGAAAAAAATAAAAAGTTAGAGCGACAATACTTTTTCTCCTCAGAATAACGTTACAGGGATCTTTCTTAGTGGCTTTGTGTGATGATCTTATCATTCTTTATTAGTAGAAGATTGACAATAAATTTCATTATTAATAAAAATTTATTATCAATCAAAAATGACTATGATTAAGATCATTAAATTAGGTATAAAAAAGATTTCATTTGATTAATCTAAACTACGATATTTTGTAAAAAAGAAAGTCGCTTGGACTATGTAATCAAAAAAAAAAATGTGATTGTCACTTTATATGTTTCATAAATATTGATTGCAATGTGACTCACATTAATTTTTGTCAAATTCACGTTTATCGCGTGTCAAAGAAAATTATATTAAAACTATTTTGTTTGGAAGAATAATTAATTATAATAATACTTAATATTTAGAGTAACAACAGTAATAAGCTAGCAGCCCGCTTCCCACCGAAAAGTGTGGGAATAAGGCATATTAATAAATTAACACCTAAGGAAAGCAATTAATTAATTAATTAATTAATGATTAAGAATCAAGTTGTACGTTCTTAAAGACTTTATAGGCATCGAATCTCTTAATGATCAATAATTACATAATAGATTCAAAGGATGTAACATGTCTTGTTGGCTTTCACTGAAAGTTACCAAGCTCACTTCAAGCGGTCATGGTTGTTTGGCGTGACAGTTTTACACCCGATTTATAAATTTAATGTGAGATTTATATTAGGTTTAGCGTGTTTAAACAAATGAACATGTTACACTCGCTATGTAAATAATTTGGACACGACGCTGACTAAATATGATTTATACATGATATATATTAATGTAATTTTGCATAATTATAAATGAGTTGATCGGGTACGAGTTAAAAAAAATTTTGCACGACACAATTTAAAAACAATACGAATGTGACTCTTTTGCCACACGATTTAGGGGTGTCCTGTCGTGTTACTTTCAACTGACTTATTTTTGTGTTGGATTACTTTAAATACATGTCAAGTTCGTGTCAATATTTGTAATTCGTGTTTGTGTCGAAAGTGAAACGAACTTGTTAATTTCGATAATATTTGTAACTTGTTAAATACTTATGTACTATATACGAACCTCATTAATTTTGTTATTTGTATCGAACGTTAATTTGATTTATTTATTTTTTGTGTTAATTAATTATATTATTTTTAAATTTTGTGTTAAATTAGATTCACGTCAAATTCGTATTAATAAATAAAGTTGACACCCCTGACGCGACCTTTTGCAAGCCTAACGTGAGACTTGTTGAACATATGGTTTTCATTACTTTCTTTATTCACCTTTCCATGCTAAACCCAATTACGATGAACCATTCTCCCTCCAGTCTGGTTAAAACATCATTTCTGCAATTTAAATTTTGGATGTATGCAATCATTTAGGATTCATGTGCAGCAGTCACCTATTCCTATTTATGTGAAAAGAGACTCAAATTATGGCCGCACGAAGGTTATATCTGGAGTAATGTTATTAAGGTTTAAAAAATTGACATAATTTATTAATATAATAATATGTCAAGATTAAAAAAAAAAATAATGTACATAATTTCAACCGTATATAGAGAGCTTCTTTCATACTTTTCTTTGTTTCGATAGTTAGAAATATTTTGGTCAGTTTATGCGTATTTCGATTAATCTTCTTTTCAATCTATGGCAGGTCATATGTCAAAACTGAGGTATTTATGACTTTGAAAAATTGCTAATATTGTAATTCAAGACTTTTAAATTTATAATTCGTCCTTCTTTTTCCCAGGATTACCCCTATGTTCCTTCTCTCCTACTTCAAACGTGTGGCATCGTTATAAAAGTGGATCTCCTTTACCCCCTTTCTCTCCCTCTCTCTCAATATGTAAGATGCGGTAGAGCTGTAGATTTATGTGATGTTTAAGTTATTGCAGAAGATTTAACTTAAATATTTATTCTTTCTTTGAGTTACGGTTGCAACCCAAAGATATCTCCGCCATGGGGGCTTACAGATATAATCGCATGAGCTTTGGAGCAGAGAAGGTTAAATCTTCTTCTTCGGGAGTTCGCCCATCAGAACGTCGGAAGAGACGGTCGAACAAAGTCTTCAAGAACAGGGAAGAGATAGAGAACCAAAGGATGACTCACATTGCCGTTGAAAGAAATCGCCGGAGACAGATGAACCACTACCTCTCTGGCCTCCGGTCCTTGATGCCACCTTCTTATTCTCAAAGGGTCCTCTCTCTCTCTCTCTCCAAATTAGTGTAGATGTATGTATGATCATATACTAATTCGTACATGTGTACTACTTTGCATGCATGGGTTTTGATAATATAATAAGTAATTAGTTGGTCATAGGTGGAGTTTTTTTTAATCATTTTTCCCTTTTGTTGTTACAATTTTGTTCCATATGTTTTATAAATACGTATTTACATTAAAAATGTGTATTTAAACCACTTTTTAATATAAACATAATTAGAAAAGTTCATAAAGAAACAATTAAATGGGAAAAGAAACGATAATCTAGTAATTAAGTCGTCATATGGGTGTGTGTATAAGATTTATATTCTCTCAATTACAATTTTATTAAATTTTATATCACCTACCATGTATAGTTGAGCGACCCGTTTACAAATAGTAGACTCAATTGAATTTATGATAAATAATTTTATAATTAAGTAAAATTGAGTGAAGATATTTGCACTTAAGTGACCATTTGAAATTATTAGTTTTTCTTATAAATCGTTGGTTTTTTCTTTTTTTTTTTTTTCAATTGCGAACAGGGGGATCAGGCATCAATTGTAGGAGGAGCAATTAATTTCGTGAAGGAGCTGGAACAACTCCTCCAAATCCTAGAAGCTCATAAGCAAATTAAGCAACAATCAAACACTTGTAACTCTTCTCTCTTTGCCAATTTCTTTACTTTTCCACAATACTCAACCTGTCCGACTGGCCACAACTCGGTGGTTGCCACCGAGTCGATGGCTGACAAGTGGTCTCCGGTGGCTGATATCGAAGTGAACATGGTGGAAAATCATGCCAACATCAAAGTACTATCAAGAAGAAGACCAAAGCAACTCTTGAAGATGGTTAATGGCTTTCACTCTATAAACCTTACTCTCATGCATCTCAACATCTCCACTGTTGAGAATATGGTACTCTACTCTTTCAGTGTAAAGGTTAGTTGATGACACAGCTCTTGATTTTTTTTAAAACATATAAGTCTTTATTAAAAAAAAAATTTTGGTTTTTTAGCTATAAAAAAAAAATACCAAACAGGCTTTAAATTATTTTTAGGGTACAATAGACTTTTAGTCCCTAAAGTATGTGTGTAGTCTCTATTTGGTCTTTAATCTTCCAATTGTGTCTATTTGATCCCTAACGTTCTTAATTTGTATCTATCTGGTCCAATGCCAAAAGTTCGTAAAAAATCGTTAATGCCTTTGGTCACATGTCAATCACATGGGACTAAATCAAAACAAATTAGGAACTTTAGTAGAAAAATATACACAAAATTAGGAACCACGTGATTGATGCGTAATCAGAATCATTACAATTTTTTGACAGACGTTTGACATTAGACCACTTAGATACAAATTAGTAACTTTAGGAACCAAATAGACACTAAGCGCATACTTTGAGGGACAAAGTGTATTTTACCCTTATTTTTACATGTCTTTGTTTCAAATAAAAAACCAATGTTAATGTGGAATTATACTTTGATTTGAGACAGGTTGAAGATGACTGTCATCTGACTACTGTTAATGAGATTGCAACCGCAGTGCATGAGATGGTCGCCATGATCCAACCAGAGGTGTGATATCTACTTGAAATTGCATAAATATTTGCAAACAATATCCACTTCTTTATTAGGAAAAACATATGAAGTCGATTTTAAATAATTGAGATAAGATTTTGTTAAATCGAGTTAAATTATATGAAGTAATGCTAATTGGCTCTCGCATTAATGAATCAAATCAACTATCGTTGAGATAGTAGTAACTTTCAATAGTCAATGAGATCCACTGTTAATCTGACGGCAAATGTTAATTCTAGCAACAAATTTGGTGTTAAGTAGTACTATTGTTTTGTATGATATGCTGTACTATGAAATGGCTCGAGTGTGAACATGTACTATGAAAGAACTTGGACGGCGTTCTGCATGGGGACTATTTAAAAATTGATTCAATAAATGAGGGACCAATGAGATACAATTATAACATTAAGGACCAAAATAAAATAAAGTACAAATTTTGAGGACTACCGCTGCAACTAACCCTTTCTCCAATTTAGTCTTCATTTGTCAATGAAAAGTTGGATTGTTTTGGAGACAACATTTCCAATAGGGGTCCCAAACAGATTACAAAAGTACTAGTTTATTATTGGCCTATCTAGGCCAAAATTCAGGCCTGTAAATGTGGTCCGTGTGGACCATATTGATTAAGACTTGGCTCACAAAGTCATGAAATGAACTGCTGAGACCTAAATATTTTTCATCTTTGCTTGAATTAAATCGAAAACTTGCGGTTTCCTAATTTAGAGAAAAAGATGTGACAAATATCCTTAGAAAATTATTCATTTGTAATTAGTTAAATCCATGAAAATAATCTCTACCTAAGTTTATGATCATGATGCTTCAAAGATGAAGATCTAAAAGTTTCAAAGAGTGAAGGAGTTCAAATTTCAAAGCCGAATCAAGAAAGCCTCCATTGCAATTTTAAAGTTTTAAGAAAGATAATTACCTAAATACTTAAAACCGTTGGTTTTTATACTTTAGCTCATTAGGTTTTTCGTGAATGACTCTTAGGCTTTCTTATGAAAAGATTTTGTAAATATTAGAAGTTGTTTTGAAAATATAGTTGGAGTTATGTGTCGGATCTTATTTGTACAATACTCTTGAGTGCTCAAAAGGTTAAACTTTTCCAAGAGTATTCAAAAGGACAAATTTTTCCTTGATTTCTAACTTGAAAATCAGCTTGGATTGTCGTTTTATGAGTCTCCTAAATTTCAATAGGTTGGTTTTCCTCCCTGGTCTCAAGGTACTACAATCAATAAGAAATATTACACATGGAGTCATAGCAGTAAAATGACACAAAAATGGAAGAAATAAAATATGATAAGCAAGTAATTGCAGCAGAGTAGTTGTATGCCTTCTTGAATGATGACTAGTAGAAGAACTAAAGCACAAACATGTAGACAAAGAGAGACTCATAAAAGAACACTTTCAGCTTAAAGAATACCAAGTTAAATTAAGTTTAACCTTCGGGACTATTACCTAAGCAACCCACTATTATATCAATTCAAAAATTAGCATTCTGAAAAAAAATCAAAACAATTCAATAATCATTCCATCGCAATACAAAACACAAGAATTTCACGTTTCACCGCATGAAATATTAGAATTATAAGGTCATAATCGTCTTATAGTATAAGGTCATACTATATAATATGTGCATGCCAAATTCTAGAGAATTTAATTTTTTGCCACCATGTGAAGGAGATTGCAACTTTAGATTTTTTCAGGAGTAGTTCAGTCCAGAAAAGGTCAATACATTGTTATCACACATATTCATATATATATATATAAATGGCTATATCAAAAAGAATAGGAATCACAGATCTGGCAAGAACTAATTGTTGACTTACGATATATCATATTGCATCAAACTCAAATATACCAAGACGCAAGTTGGATGCAATTCAATCTCGCCACATGTCAACAATGACCAACGACAGCATTTCCACTTTCCAATACAAGAAATTCGAGGAGAAAACTTGTCACATTGAAAATATGAAAACAAATTCAGCAAAATAAAATTTTGAAATTAGACCCAAACAATTTGATGCTTGACTCAAATGCTATAAAAAAAGAGGCAATACTTGATTCTTTATCACACCGTACCAGATAAATGAATTTTCTCAATATTCGCCTTCTTTTTCTTTCTATTATCATTGTGTTTTAAACTCACAAAATATTTAGACCAAAAAACTCGACTTACTTTACTACTATAACAATAGAACCACACTCAGTAACCCCCTTATATACTTTGAACTAAGGTTTTTTAAGGAATACCTGTACTCATACCCACGTACTACTGGTATTTAAAATAAATTCTTACCCATTTAACAATTTAAGAGATTTTCAAGTATGATCAGAGGCCTTATGATCTCCATCAGTGAGAGTTTATCGGGATGGTCGTTGGGCGCTCTTCCTTGCCCCCATCCCTTATTTAACCACCAAAAAAAAAAAAAAAAAGTCTTTACCAGTGGAGTTTCTCTTGTGCTAAATCATACTTTTGAAGTGTTGATCCTAGTTAACAAATATTTTACATGTGTTTTAATCCAAACTTCTCCAAGGACGAGGACTTAGAAATATTCCTTCTTGTCAAAACACAACAAGAACCACTTACCTTCCAAAATCAGGATAATTAAAATTTTACAAATTATTTTAAAAAGTTTGTAGATTAATTGTAATATTTACCCTTAATTAATGTTGCTTCGGCCTTTTTGGGGGTTTTTTAGTGTTTAGTATATTTGAGCATTGATTGAAGTAGATTTCAAAGAGGTCCAAGCCCAATCAACTAGGTTAACATGTATGTCAATCAAGAGCCTCCTTATCCTTGAAAATAAAAACATTTTGATTATTTCGAGACGAATTTTTGATCTTGTTAGATTAATTTGGAATCTAATATTGGGCGGTAGATCTTATTTCACATAAGGGGTTATTTGCTAACAATGATAATTCTGATATTAGGTCTCAATGGTATTCTTTTATTCTGTTAAGGATTTTTAGAATAATAATATACAGAAACACGTGTCTTATTTTTTCTCTGAAAAATTATAAAAATCTGCTTTTATGGTCATAATAATGGGGAACATTACTTATTTGACTAATTCATCAAGTAAGTGACGGTATTAACCCTCACATAATTGGTATCAATTAAAGTAAAAAATATATATTTGAAATAATAAAAAATCTCATAAAATTACAAGGACTCCTCAAAGAGTAATGCTACTATTTGGACCTAAAAATCTGATCTAATTTGTTGACATAATGATGTGGCTTAATAGGAATCATTGGATCAACACCAAGATCCAATGTTTGATTGGACCTATAAGCAATCCAAAATCATAATAAATTAGATCAAATTTTTAAGTTCTAATAGCGTTGTTCTTCCTCAAAACACTTGTGCGCCTAAATAAAGGAGTAAACATTGCCAGACAAAAATTTTAATTGTGTACAAAGTTAGCTAAGTAATAAAATATTCACAAGGTAACAACCATCAAGTTAGCTTGTATGAAAAGATTTTATGAATATTATCTTTAGCTTGTAAGTTGAAACAAAAAATTTCTTGATACACATGGATTGCAATTGAATGCGTGCATCCTAAATACGAAATGTAGGCGTGATGAGCTCAAAAGGGATGTGTTTAGGACAATTTTCAGTTACAAAAGATTCATAATGTCCCTCGTCGAGTTAGCTTAAATAAGAAGATTTCATGGCTATTATTTTTAACTCCTAAGTTTAAAAATGTCTTGATATATCCGACAAACATATATTATAAGTGATTGTGTGCATTCTAAATGTCTAATGAGTTCAAATGAAAATAGTTATGACGTTTTTAACTTCAAATCTTATACAAACTTTATAAAATCTCACTTGAAGCAAATGGATTTTTTCAAAATATAATGATTATAATACAAATAAATTAAACCAAGTAAAGTAGGTACATTATAATGATGAATCATTTGAACCAAACTTTAAGTTTTATTAAATGCTTGGCCCTGGGCATAGGTCACTTAGGTGGCCTTTTGTTATTGGGAGATTTGAACTCAAATGGCCAATTAAAATTAAAAAACCCGGACCATAAATTGAAACTAAGAGATTCCTATTACATTACACAATGGCCCATGCGAAAAAAAGGCCCAACAACTGTTCTATTACTTTTAATAATCTCTCATACAGTTAAATCGAGTCTTTTTCAATGTGTCAGACATCTGGAAAAAAAAATGTGTCAGGCACACAAAAATTCTCTTTTTCTCTCTCACACATACATAGACGTGCACGTGCGCACGTATATAATGCAAGTGATTGTTAATGTTAAAGAAGAAATAACTAGAGCACTAAAATAAAAATAAAACATTATCAGCATGAAAAATATTCTTCAATAGAGATCATGCTATTCCTTTAATCTAATATAGGTTCAAAATATTAAAAATAGATAAAGTGTTTGACTCTTAATTTAGTTTTAGAAAATTAAATTCTTTATGTGATGAAAGTTTTAAAAAAATATGAATTTGACCTTGGTTTTTTTTTTTAAACGTATTATTTTTTCAATTTTGGCCACCAACGGTACTAAGGAAATTAATGACTGAAGTACCCTTCGACTTTTAATGTTAGTATGAGATTTGACCACTAACGATTTTTTTTAATTTTTTTAATTTTGTTTAAAAAATTCTTATTTTGAATTTGCTTCTTGTATGATGTTGAAGCGTACAGTGTCACCAGTTTTTTTTTACAAATTTTTGATGTACATACATCTGGAACATCCATAGGTACCTGTTAATTTTTTTGTACACTGATTTCTAGCGCCAAATTTTTTAGTTTTCATGTGAATTTTTTACATTATTCGAAATTTTCTGAGTATGGATTGTCATACAATGTATTATACTAAATATTGTGCAAAAGCGTTAAACAAATAAAATAATAGAATAAATAATGTTAAGAGTAAAATTGTATATTTATTATATAAGATGTAATAGAACAAATGGTTATTTGTGAAACTCATTATAATAACTACTAAACTAACAAAAATAAGAGAAGATTAAAATAATTTTTATTATCAATACTAATTTCTACGAATATTAGAAATATAAAGAATACATTCCTCAATCTCGTTCATAACAATTCTCAAAACAAAGATACCCTTGTGAACCCACTAAATCCAACAACTGTCATATGTAGGGATCTCCTTAGAGTTTCCTACCACATACAATAATATATTATATTAGTGGCTGATACTAACTATCGATAATAACGTGGTATTAGGCTTTTAGCCAAAAAAAAAAGGTAAAAAGAGAAAATGTGGAGGAGGCGATGGTTTCTTTGCTTGCCAGTTTTACTGATTATAGTTTGTGTGTGTAACGGATAATCTTTGTCCAAACCCGCAAGAAAAGAATTTCTCGGCTTCTTCAACACAAGATGGCAACCCATCACCGACCTACGACCACCCACTCCTTACGTCTCTCTTCCTCTCGGGTTTAACTATAATATTAAAAAATTAATTTTTAGTATTATAATTTTTTTTTTAATAAAAAGGTTGTCCATATAAAACTTTTTTATTTTATTATTTTACTATACTCAATTCCTCTCTCTCTCTCTCCTGATACCCACCGCCTACCAACCATGGCCACCCCCTCTCCCTTGCACTCCTCAAAACAGACTTTTGCCTTATAAATTCCAATTCCAGCAAACTGATAAAAAATCGCAAGATAATCAATCAGAACAAGTGCAGAAGCCGAGAGTGGCTACACGGACGATAAACAACCAGAAGCTGAATTCTAAAGGTTTGGAAGGCGGTGAAATTTCAATGGGTCTTATGCTTTCTCCGAAATCCGGCATCGAGCTTATGCAGAACTGTGATTTGCCTCCACCCCTCAAAGTCTTTTCCGGCCCGGATAAGAAAGTCATACCACCCATGAATAGTTTGATAGGCCAGGAAGAGGAGGCGGTGGCATTTCCGATGTCGAGAAGTGGGTCCGAGGGGGAGAATTTGGAGCTTTTAAGGGCCTTGCGGCTATCACAAACAAGAGCAAGAGAAGCAGAGAGGAAAGCTCAAGTGCTGGTTAAGGAGAGAGATACTCTTTCCAATGGTCTGATAAAAGAATCGGCTCAATTGTTTGCTTACAGGCAATGGGTGAAATTGCTTGAAGTTCAAGTGTCTGTATTACAATGGCAGCAGCAGCAGCAAAAGCTATTTGGGCAGTTGTTATGAAGATTCAACGGAGGAAGATGATGCTAATGAAGAAGGCAAGGGCAGGATGAGATGGTTCGTGGCTTTGGCCTTTTGTTTGGGTATTGCTGGTTTGGCCTT